TTCAATAAGACAATAATTTCCTTTTCAGTAAGACAGAGTCAATGTCTCTCATCAAAGTTGCTTTATCCAACGTGGGGCATAGTAATGGTTACTTAGGATAAATTTCTTCTGTGGTTTCTGGACAAAGGGGGCCGATGAAAGGGCACAGGGAGACTCCTGCCGACCTCTCTCCACTGAGTGAAAGCAAACACAAAGCATAGTCAGAGACCGTAAGCTCCTAAGGCTGCCTTTGTAAATGCCCTGCTCAATTTTTAGACTTCAAGACAGGTAAAGGTTGACATCACCTGAGAATTACGGAATGGAATGGTACCTAATACCCACTGATATCAATACCTATTCAGACTTCAGATGTTTAAAATACTCAAGCAGATACTATTCATCCTGTTCTACATTTTAAAGTGCTGGTTCAAAGCCATGTGTAAAAACTCCAATTTAGCCTCCTAAGGCATTTGGGACTTTGAACATTTTCTCCAAATCTTAGCTCTAGGTGGTAGCCCTGGCCCTCCACAGATTCTTGTGTGGGACTAGAGAGGCAGCAGAAGGTCCTACGTGGCATAGTCTGGAGCACACTGGAAAGGAGGATCAGAGAGAAAGGACATTTGCTGGTGTAGGCTCAATATGAAGCAGCCCAATTTCTTTCCTGTGTCTCCCTTGTCCTACCTATCTGGCACTCAGAGCAGCTAAGAGAGGGTGGTTGCAAAACCAAAGAACTTCAGCTTCAACGGTGTTTTCAGAGACACCACATTAAGAACAAATCACATGATATGCCATGTTCCCATTTCAGATGTTGAGTGTCTCAGTGCCTAGCACCATCAGTGCAAGTTGCAAGGACCTACTCATAGTGATTTTAATTAAGAGCTGAGATGCTCCCAGAGGATGATTTGTTAAGAGCTAAATCACCTTTCAGAAATTGCTATTCTTCTTCACTCACTACAGGAGTCCAGACATCTTATGGCTCCCTCAGCTGTATAAAGCTGGATGCGCTTTGCTGCAAGCAGCACTTAGGCCCTGAAATTTTTGGTTTTCTTTTCCCAGATCATTTTCTCTCCAGCAACACTGCATACATTGTCATTCTTTCCTAGAAAAACACAATATTTAATTGCAGTGCCTGATGAGTTTGATCACTAGCTGTCTCAATAAAATATGCAAATGCAGAGTCATTTCAATGCAAAGCACCGTTAAACAAAAATGATAACTTGATTGCATTTATCTTACAATTACTTTTTTTTAAGGGGGCATACTACACACACTTCGTAAATATGATTAATTCTAAAACTGCCTGCATGCAACTGAAAAGCAGAATAGGAAAAGATGCCAAGTACAGTCATGACATTACAGTAGGGTTCAATCTCCAAGATCTTCAGCTACTGCATATATTACTCCTTGCACTACCACTTCTTTATCACGATTCAGTGCCCAGGTCAAACATAATTATAACTTTCTTTGCAGAACAGGAGTCGATAGCTGAGCATATCTTGTGAAATTATTCAAAGTTAAAAGTATAATTTTTTATTCATCTCTGGTTCTCTATAAAGATGACAAAGTGCGATAGCTGAGATATTGATCCTCACTGCTCATGAGCAAGACTGGGGGTCATAATTCATCTGAGGTGAAGCCCTCTGAATTATGGTGCTCTTGTCCTTACCTGCAGGCAGTGGAGATCAACTCTGTGCTGCAGGGACATCCCTGCAGAACATTTATTGTAATATAAATGTTGTATAGTAATTATCTTTTTGGAGGGCAGGTATGCTTTTCTGTTTCCTCTTTTTCTGATATAATTTCTATTGCTAGAAACAGTGTATGAAAACAGTGTGCGCTCTGAATTTAAGAAGGTGAAATGAAGGTCCTTTTTTTGGCATGTTATTGCATATACAACAAACTGGTGTGAATTAGCTCTAGGACAAATTCTAACCTTCTTTCTCAGGCAAAAATCTTAGAACTGGGCCAATGGGAATATTTTATGTATTTTTATGTTTATTTTGGGTGTGATTATAAGGTTATCTGTCCAATCTATCTGGACTTTTTAGAAGTAATAATATACCAGGAGAGAAAACTTTCGAAGAAAAAAAGAACAAAATATCAAGAATTATACTTGGACATCAGGTAAAATATTTAATAGATTCCTCACTGATGGAAATGATCCATATTTCTGAGTTGCTTTCAGTACTGACCATTAAATATAACAACAAATATAAGGTTGCCAAATATCTTACCATACATTGTTTTTGAACATCAGAAAAGCCCAGTGGAATTCCTCCAGCTTGAAGCAGCTATTACAATTAACTGCCCTAAAATAACTAGGCATCTGCAATCCTGCCACACTCATGGGTCATCAGTGAACAACTACAGGAGATGGATTGGTTTCCACTTGAACCCAGCAACAGTTGCTTAAGCCATCACCAGCTCATACTTTCACATTGCTTAACATTTTAAGAAGTTTAATTTAACATCCAGGAAATCCCAAGACTGCAAACATGTAAAGTGCTTTCTGGTACTATAAGTCCCCATTTAACAACGTCACAGTTCAGAAGTGTTTATTTGTATGTATAGTCCGTACTTGAACTCAGTAAGACTTCAGCACAGGTTTAAAACTTAAATGCTGTCCTGAATAGCTAAAGACATGACCTCCAGTTCAGATAATCACTTTTGCACATTGTTAAATACTTCATTTTAAGCACACATTAGTCCTCTTGGCTTCACTGGGACTGCTTCTGAGATGAAAGCTAATTGCTGGGGGCATTGTGTGTGTCTCTGTGTGTGCATGCATACGTGTTTGCAAAATTTCTACTCCACTGAATTCAATGGAACTTGTACTGTTGACTTCAAAGCAGACCCAATTTTACCCCAGGTGTTTTGCTGCTTCTGACACCTCTGCCTCCCTGTCAGTGTTAGATGTGTCAATAGTACATTTTGTTAGCTATTGCTGTTTTCTCCTATAGAAAACTTCATTCAGTCTTGGGAATTAATTTACTTAATCATATCTTCTTCATTGTTCTTATGTCCCTCAACTCTGTGTGCTTCTTCAACTTTCAATCACACTAGAAGAGATTAGTTTTAAGATTCATATAGTGCTTTATCCTCTGCAGAGCATGGGATGATATGTTCAGTTTCTTCCCGCTTTTATTAGGTTGTTACACCGATGCATCAAAGCTTAGAGGCACAGATTCTTAATTATGAACCTCTCTTTCAACCTTGTATGGTCACAAAATTGTTTTCTTAGGATTTGTTTAAATTTTAATGTAGCTGTTAAATTTCCTGTAAAACTTGTTCAAAACTCTTCAGTACTAGTGCAGCTTTCTGTTCTAGATCAGTAAAAACGTGATGAATTAAAATGATAGATGCCTATAAATGTTAGTTCCATAAGAACAACTACCTTGAGAATTTCTGTGTCCTGGCACTTAAGGTATTTTGGGTTTCTGATACCCTTTGTTTTCCCAGGTTTTTGCTTGATTCTATTACTCTTTTCTTACATATTATTAAAGGCGATGTATCCAACTGCATTTTGTCTCCTGGAACCTTTCCCTCTTGTCATTCACGGTGGTACTTTCAAACTCCAGCAGTATTTTTTCAAAGCAACACATGAACTTTTCGTTGACTGAAGGTCAAAACTGATTTGGAGAACAGATGGAAGGTGGAAAGATGAACCTTTGCCACCCACTGAGCATTAACACCTGTTTATTTGTTACATCTGCCCACTGCAGCTTAGAGGCTCCCGAAAGTTTTACCCAAGTGATTTAGGACTTGCTATTGGACTGAGTGCAAATGCTTTTTGTGAAAAGAGGTGTTGTTTTTACCTTTTTAATCAAGCTGCATATTCTGTGGGTTTAGGATGTCAGTTAACTCCACGTGCTTAGACTCTAAAAGAGGGACTATGATTTTGTTGAGATGCTACTGCAATAAAATGAAAAAAACCCAACATTGAGATGGCATTGAATGCAAAGTGTGATTGTTTCAAAAAGGCAGATTTAGGATTTCTATTAATTTCATACAGCAGGTTGTTTACTCTCTCCGAGCCCAGTTGCTCATAGCATAGTATTCTTTGAGGGTTCCAGAGAAGGTAGAAAAAGAATAGTTTGTCTCCATCCCACTAACTCCAAGTGAAGGCATTTCAGCCACCTAATCAATGGGGAAACTAATGAGCCTTTCAGATCTGCTTCTGTTTGTGGTCAGATACCTGTGGTGTTCTCTTTCTGCAGTAGATGTCTGAAAGATGCTTTCTGGGGAGTGATGTGACACTAAATCAGGAGTTATCCCTGTGTTTTACAAGACTGGTCCCTGGATTTGGGTACTCTTATTTAGAGTAGCTGCAAACTGTATTTCAGTGAGAAAATTAAACAGTCATTCATTAAACTGCTCTAGATCAGGAAACAGAAAAATGGTATTATGTAGCGTGAAAAAAGCAGTGAATGAATAGGTGGTTTGCTTGTATCAGCTAAATCTTAGCAGAACGTCCAACATATTTATCCTTGTTACTGAGTGTTTAAAATTAGAAGCTTGCTTTTTAGCTTTATGGAACATAGTTTATTGGCTTGATCCAAGGTCTATTGGCATAGGGAGTCCTGCTAACTTTCTTTAGCTTGCCTTGTGCCTTCAAGGATGAAACTCAAGAAGAGTAATTAGAAGAACTATTATGTTGTGGATATCATTCCTAAATACTGTGTAATGAAGTTCTAACCAATAAAAATGGAAAACAATGTGTTCACACATTTTTTTTGGCTATTTCTCAAGTTAAGATTGTGTTGTGTATCCTTCTTGAAACCCAGAAGGGTGTACAAGTCAGAAGAGACCTTGTCTGTTGTTCAGAAAGCTAATTTTCTTTATTCCACATGTATCCTAAATGATTTTCAACAACTGGCGCAGATCATAAAAAACTGGCAAGATCTGATTGTAATGAGACATTTCTAACCTATTTCAGGTTATGTGAGAATATGAATCACCAAGAATATAATGAACTTTCCTTTCCGATTTTCTGCAGGTTGAGAAACAGCAATTATAAAAACATGCATCGAAGGCACACAACCCTTCGGGAGAAGGGCCGGAGGCAGGCCATCCGGGGCCCAGCCTACATGTTCAATGAGAAAGGCACCAGCCTGACTGCAGAAGAGGAACGCTTTCTTGATTCTGCAGAATATGGCAACATTCCTGTTGTGCGAAAAATGCTGGAGGAATCCAAAACATTGAACTTTAATTGTGTCGATTACATGGGACAAAACGCCCTACAGTTAGCTGTAGGCAATGAGCATCTGGAAGTGACAGAGCTCCTCCTCAAAAAGGAGAATCTCGCTCGAGTTGGAGATGCGCTTTTGTTAGCCATCAGTAAAGGATATGTGCGCATCGTAGAAGCAATATTGAACCATCCAGCCTTTGCACAGGGACAGCGTCTCACACTCAGCCCCCTTGAGCAGGAACTGAGAGATGATGATTTTTATGCCTACGATGAGGATGGAACACGGTTCTCCCATGACATAACCCCTATCATACTTGCTGCCCACTGCCAGGAGTATGAAATTGTTCACATCTTGCTTCTAAAAGGCGCACGGATTGAAAGGCCACACGACTATTTTTGCAAGTGCAATGAATGTATTGAGAAGCAGAAGAAAGATTCTTTTAGTCACTCTCGATCGAGAATGAATGCCTACAAAGGATTAGCCAGTGCTGCTTATTTGTCTCTTTCCAGTGAAGACCCTGTCCTTACTGCTTTAGAGCTAAGCAATGAATTGGCCAGACTAGCCAACATTGAAACTGAATTTAAGGTAATTTACCACTGTGCCTTTTTCCTGGGGCTGAATGTATTCAGGGTACTGTATGTCTTACATGTTTGATTAAATCTTGGTTTGCCATTTGAGGGGGTGGGGGTGGAAACAGAAGCTACAGAAACTGCCAGATGCGTTAACTACACATAGATTCAGATCACTGTGCATTCTCCAGTTAATAAATATTTGGAACTGAATATTGCATATTATAGCAAAGCTATTCTTATTCAGAACTTTATGTTGCACACTGTGATTGCTTAGAATCTCTAGTTTTCAGTAAGAATAAAAATTAGATTATTACAAAAATGGAGACTAATTTTTTGTAAGAAAGGTAAGTCTTTTTAATTGAGCAATCTATTTTAGAGGCAGAGCTCTAGAGATTGGTTTAATGGCTTAAGAATCCAGTACATCTAGTTCTGTTACAATGATAAAAGGTATAAATTAAGCTATTTTTGTTCTCTGTGAAATAATTTAAATCGCATTGCATCTTAATGGTTTGGTACTGCATCTGTATATGATGAATTTCATGAAAAAGGAGGAGACAAATGATCAATAGATTGTTATGAAGTTTATCATCATACCAAACATAACAGTGGAACTTGCAGAACTCTCTTACAAGTTATTCAAGATTTCCATTATCATAATGAGTTTGTAAATGTCCAATGTGATTTGCATTATTTCTCTAAGTCATTTACATGACATAAATAGCATTGTCGCTCTTTCTAAAATAAATTAGTAATGAAAAAAACTCGTTTTCAGTGGCTCAGTCATCAACATAAGAATAATTTCTGACTTATGACTATTGAGCAGCTACAATCACTATCAGTGACGCTGGGGTAATAAAATCTATGTCATGAGTAAACTCGGGTACGATGCCTGCCAGGAATCCATTATTTTTAATTTAGAAAACTATTCAAGTGTTAAAGCATCCATTTCAGGATTTGTAGCTATATGATCTCCAATTTAAAAGTGAGAAGAAAGCATGTTCTCAGGCTATTGCCTTTGAAACTCTGTAGTAAGTCTCGAACGCGAAAAAATACCCAGACCACTGAGCTCTTTTGGCAATAAAATTAGGGCAAAATGTTGCAAACTCTTTTTATCCATGTGAATCAGAATTCCAGGGACACAATAATTTAAAAGAGAGTTTTTACTTGCTTGGCATTCAGTCCTAGTAAAGGAATCGCCCTGGGTTCAGTGAATCTGGCTGCTTGAGTGAGGGTTACTCCAGTGTTGAAAGTGCTGTGTGCTTGCACCCACAGTTAACAACATTAATATCTCATTAATGTTCCAGCTTCTTCCCAGCAGAAAAATATATGTTGTCTGGAGCATGAGCAGCCTCAGTATTGCACGCCTGTCAGTTCTGATAAAATCTATTTCTACCAGAATTTCTTCTTTTGTTCATAGAGCTGCCATCATGGTCTAGACTGGCACTGGCAGGTACCTGAATCCTCCAGGAGCAAACAAGCGATCAAATGCTAAATAGTCTCATGGTGGTTATCTCTCCTCAGCATTGGCAAATGGATGCAAGTAATTTGATACCATAAAAATCATTACAAACCCTTTGCCAAATTATTATATTTCCAGGAAGGCTTTCCAATGTCATTGCCGTATTGGAAGGTTCTGTGCCAGACACACCTATGTGTGTTAGTGAAGTACCTCAGAAGTACATATACCACTAGCGTACTTCAAAGTTGCCACATTCCTGTGGGATATTAATACTTCCAGAAATAAGAAACATCTCAAGATTATAATGTATCCTTACTATAGGAAAAATTCACATGTATGTATTTATGCAAAAAATATTTATTCTTATTAACTTAATCAGTATGATGTGGAAGAGGGTATTAATAAAACAGTAGGGTTTTTTTCACATAAAGTGACATTTTGAGAATTCATTTCTGGAAAAGAATGCAATTGCTGAAAATATATTTAAGGAGTCCACAAACAATGAAAATTTATGAAATCAGACAAGCTCCAGAGGAGCTTTTTTTTTTGTGCCTTAAAATAATACTTTCCCCAGCTTTTTACTTTTTATTGCAAGTGTTCTGTAATTACCATTTGTAAAATTATCACTTGGGGTTATTTCAGAATGGTTATTTATATGCAATCTTAGCAATACAGTTTTCAGGAGGTATAAAAAGTCCTTGAAACGGAAGGACGTGAGTAAGATTTTTAATAATGTAGGTGGACAAATAGTAATTAAGAGTTAGATAACCTACCTCTGAAGGAACTCCTAGCATGAGATAATTAAAATATAAATGCAGTGCCTCTCACCTGCTGCTTGCTGCCCTAAATCTCTTGTGCAATAGCACTGTTCAGCACATCAGACTGAGGAGCAAGTACATGCACTATATTTTTAGAGAACATGAAATTTTTTAGGTGAGTGGTGCCTTTGTGCAGATATGAAAGATGAAACAAAACAGTGATGTGAACCACTTTAAAGGAGAAAAGTTGCCTTTCTGTGGTTGGCCACAGTTTGAGAGAAACTCTAATGAAGATTACTGGGTGAGAATAATTTTACCCGTTCTTTTTTACAACATCAGAAGCTGAACAGATTGTTCTCACCCTAAATTGCTAAGATTCAATCATAGACTGTAGTTCTTACTAAGCGTCTTTGTATAGATGTCGTACATCACAAAGTAGCATGGGAGTGTTATTAAGGTGAAAATGGGAGTCTGGATGTACGATAGCTCACACTGCTGGCCTTTAGCAGCCTTTCTGTTGACCAGTCAATGGGTCTTTCATAGCAAGAGTGGATGTTCTGGCTGCCGGTCTGGAGTGGCTATACTGCCCTACTGAACTACTTTCCTGACGTGTTGATTTTGACTCAAAAGCAAGGTCAGGACAGTCAGCTACCATGTGGCTTCCCACATGCTGAGGAGAATGTTGAAGAGAACACTGTTATGTGGAGGCTTGGAGTTAGAGGAAAGAGGGAAGCTGTCAAAGCTGATGGATACTGATGGTTTTACTGGAGCAGATACTCTATTGGGGTAAATCAGTGCTTTTTCCCTGAAGCTTAGATGAGGCTGCAGAAGATGAGGATCTGTCCCGCTATTTAGAACAAATGTATAGTTTGGATCAATGTTGCAGGCAAATGTCAGCTTTTGCAATGCTTATTGAAGGGGTGGGGGGAAGTGGAATAATGTTACTTTCACATAGAAGTAATTTCTTTTTTTCCTTTAAATTCTCTAGTGTCAAAGTCTTGCAAAAGTTTTCTTATTGATGGAAGAAAACAAATTGCTTTGAAAGATGTAGTTCATGAGTCTGGACATAAATAATCACCCTTCCCCAAAATAAGATGAAAAATATTGAACAGGTTGTTTCTACTGAAAATACCAGCAATGTGATTGCATTAAATGTCCTGGTAATTAGCCTACAAATGGGGTGGATAGAAACCCCCCAGAGCTGGATTATTGAACTTTCAGAAAAGAGAGAAGTTAATGTCAGAGTCACTGTGTATTTTGCAGGTCTTTATGCAATGATAGCAGAGGCAGCCCAAGCTGAAAAGAACAACCTTAATTCAGTGCTTTGCCACTTTTGTATATCCCAATTGAAAGCTCAAAATTAAGAACCAGTTAATGACTTTCTCACTCTTTC